AAAGGAATAAGACTTATATCATTCGAAAGCTATTGTGCCATAGATGTGCACAAAAAACAAAATAATGTGCGTAATGCTCCCTAAGGCACGTAAAATAAACTGAATATACACACATGATTTTTCCATACAAAACGTTAAGCATTTTAGTCACGTTTATGGTTGTATAAGCCAAGATCCCTTTGCCTTCCCTTCACGTGAAATTATTACAAGAAAGTTAAACAAAATATACATAACATTTCTTCGGCGAATTTAAGCGGAAACTTGTTCACGATTGCTCTTTTGAAGTAGATTTTGATACGTAAAAGTAGTGCAAAAAAAACGATGTATCAACTGGTTCCATGGTGATATAACTCATAAATATAGATACTGTTGTCATCAATTGTCTGCTGTTTGTAACTGTAGTTTAAGCTGTTGGCCTAATCTCACAAATATTTGGCATTACGACGCACAGGATATTGCAAAAATTTTTTTAGCAAAAGATACGTCAGAATTGGCTGTGAGGTCTAAGACATTTGAATGATCGATTAGGGTTTCGGCGGAACTTAAACTTCTCCGTCGGCGGATTGTTGCTCTTGTATTTTGAAGAGAATTTTGGTACGTAAAAGAGATGTGACTAGTGTTACCAGATGAAAAAATTAAAAGTCCGGAGAAGAGGCCTGATTTCCATTTAAAAATCCTGAGATTGTTTTACAGTTTGAGAAGAAAACCTTACTTAAAAAGGTATCTTCACATATTAAGTATGATAAAACTGTTTAAGTACCTACTTGGATAAATAAGTTTTGATTTTAATTGTGAAATTATTACCAAAGGAGAATTATTTTTAGTTTATTTAACTTTTTATTAAGAGATCTTTTAAAATGTAAGCTGTATCATATTGAAAATTCTAAAAATCCTGAGATTTCATGAGATTTGCAAAATCCAGCCGCAATCCTGAGAAGAGTCTAAAAATCCTGAAATCTCAGGACAAATCCTGAGATATGGTAACCCTAGATGTGACTATGTTTTGTCTGCGTATGTATGTATGTCTAGGTATGATACCGCGTTTAGACTCTCGCCTCGCGCCTCGCCTCGTACCTCGCCTCGCAGCTCACGTGTTTATGCGAGGTAACGAGTGCCTGTTTACACTCTCGCGATGCGTTCAGTTTGCGTTGAGCCAGCGACGATGAAAGACGTCGAAATAATAGCGGCATCAACTCTTGCCTTAATAAGTATTTATCAATGCCTGACATTTTAAAAAGAAGGAAATTAAAAAGGTATTTCTTTAGTAATCTGCGGCATGAATATATGGTCGCCGAGTAGGCGAGGGAGGGGGGGGGGGGAGGAGTTGTAGAGTCACCACCCACTTCCATTTCCTGCCGGACGTGCTTAGTTTTTTTATAACTTTTAAAAATCTCATTTTGAGGTTTTGTTTTCGTAATGTTTTTGACAAAATAAACCTATAAACCTGATTTGTGGGGGAGAGATTTTGAGGAGTTTAGCCCAACGCTACTCAACGTGGCGCAGGTGAGGGTAGCTCTGTCGACGGAGCCCCGCTTTGCAGGGTTCCTATTTCTGGATGGTTTATAAAAAATAACCGCGAAGGGGATGGAGGGGTCTGTTCGCTCGCTTCGCTCATACGCTCGACCCCGCCATCCCCTTCTAACCTAACCTGTCCGAGTCGGGGTGCCCCAAGTCCCGACCTCGCTTCGCTCGCTCTAGCACCAAATAAAACACCAAAATGTTAACTTTTATAATTACTTTAATAAATAAACATATTTTATTACTTCCGCCATTTCCAAAAACGTCGTAAAATAGCAAGCAATCGGTCTCCAGAGGGGTCTAGAAAAACAGGAGGCAGATAATAACAATAAGGAGCACGTTCACGTAAACTTGGAAGCAACGGAATGACGCTTATGACGCGAGTCGCGAAGTCGAAAATAAACGTAAAACGGAGTGATTATATTCTCTTTGGTCGAGTTTATCTGTGACTGTCAATGTCAAAAGTTCAGTTTCAGGTATTAATTAGTGATTTATGTATATTTTTAGAAAATAATTTTAAATGTTTCGACGCAGCTCCGGCAACTAAAATTGCATGTAGCGTTTGAGGTAAGCCCCCTTGACCTTCCCACAGTGACAGACTCTCTAATAATTATATTGTTATTTCGTTTTCGTACCATTTTAAAATGGATATAACCTCAAAACTATAATAATCGATATCTCGGAAACTAAATATTCCCGGCATAAAAAGCAGCTAGATGGTAATCAATTAGCTTAGCTTTCCATTGACGTCCGTCGAGTTGGGTGTTGATACGTATTTTTACAGAAAAGTTTCACTATTATAAGCACACACACAAAGTTTCAACATGCGGAAACGCGTAATTTTTGAGAAAAAATTATTGAAAATCAATTATTCTTGCAATGTTTGTCTAATCCTACCGTAAAACTGGCGCTATTTTGTAATGTCATTGTCGACGTCAGTAGGGATGTCGATTCTTTCCGAAAGAGGTCGATTTTTAAATCGATTCAAATCGTAAGCTGATGTATCGGTTCACAAAAAATCGATTTCTAAAATATCTATATTTTTAATGTTTTCATTTATAATGTAAATATAAATACATTTTATGAAGAACAAGAAAGATACCATAATAAATGATCTCTTATTGAAATTTGTTTTATTTTAACAGTACCTATTAGGGCAGATAACAAATAAAATAGGTTAGGTTCAACTTATGTCAAAGAACCGAATTGATTGACCCCGACTCCACCTGGTACGAGTCTGTCCTACCCCTAGAGTGGTTTTATAGCGCCGGAGACGTAGCAGTCTCAAAATAGATACAGAAATCCCTCTGAATCGAACATCAATCATTTTTTTATGATGAAAGGATTTTTTTCTCATAAAATGGATTTATATTTACATTATAAATGCAAACATGAAAATAATATAGATATTTTAGAAATCGATTTTTTGGGAATCGATACATCAGCTTACAACTCGAATCTATTTAAAAAATCGATCTTTTTCGGAAAGAATCGACATCCCTACTGACAATAATAATAAAAAATGGCGTTAGTTTCACGGTAGGAATTGATATAAATATTGCAAATATATTTGATTTTCAATATTTTTTCTCAAAAAGTACGTGTTTCCGCATATTGAAACTTTGTGTGTGTGTGCTTATAAAAATGTAATCTTTCTGTAAAAATACGTATCAACACTAAACTCGACGGACGTCAATGGAAAGTCGTACCCAATATTATCTTTGCCTATCACCCAAAGCTAAAATGATCACTTAAATCATGCCGCAGATTACTAAAGCCGACCCATTAAAAAAATACCTCGTTGAGGAAGAATATGGTGGATGATATCTATTCATCGAAACAGAACATTTTCAGTTTCATAATTTTATATAAATTGCAATTATGCAAAATGCAATTAAAATTAAATAACATTATTTTATTAAAATTGTAATTTTAAAACAAAAGCAATTCGAATGTTATTATGGAAGGGCGCCGTAAACAAACTAAAACGAGAGCGCGAGTGTAAACACCACGCTCGCGTCGCTCACGAGGCCTTTTGCCTCTTGCCCGAAAAACCGCCTCCGACGCGAGCGCCGCGAGTGGCGAGGCGAGCTGCTTGGCGAGCCACGAGCTAGCGTTTACACTTGCACCTCGTGGCACTCCTCGCGACTCGCCTCGCCGCTCGCGCGATAGTGTAAACGGGGAGTCAAATATTAGCTGAAACGACAAAACAAGTGCTCTGATGTTGATACAATATATCTCACGTTATTTTGTCCGCTCAGGCGCCTTAAGCATTTGAAAACTGCCATTATCGACTATCTGCTTCCAAAAACTCCGCAATGTGATGCATATACATATTATTGTCGGGAAGTTTTAGATCAATACTATAAAGGATAATTAATATTTTGATCAATTTATTTAGGATTATTATTAATACTATAAACGATAATATCCTATTACTTGGCACTGGCAGAAACACAACCGTAGATACCATTAATAAAGAAATGAATCAACGAATAGTGTTCTTTCCATTACTTTCAAAATGAATTATCACGTGAGTTTACATATTTGTTATATTATTCTAATGTTAAAAAACAGTTTAGGTACTAAAATATTGTCATCTTCTCTTGCATTTTTGTAGCCTTTTCCAGACTTTCCTCAACCTTTCAACTTTAAAAAAAGGCTTAAAAATAAATTTCCATTACCTGGAAAAAGAAGTTGAATTTTGCTTCTTTACAAACGCAATTTAAGAAAAAAAAACTAGCAATGTTATTAACATTACTTATATGTATTCTGTAACTTAAAGTGCTTGTGTTAAGAGTGGTTCACGACAATTGTGGAATATCGAATTCGAACCCACGACCTTTAGAGTTCGCGGTCCATTAATTTACTGTCGCTGAAACATATTCCATTCGCCTAAAAATTTCGCTTAAACATATGTCGACAATAAGTATATATTTTGACTACACTATATAATAATCTAACTATATATTTCGACAACAGGCGATAATAGTACAGATTAAAATGGTACAGCATAACTATGTATATTATTACAATAGCATTATGATATGTTCACATTTATAGAATAAATTTAAATATTATATTACTAAAATATTATACAAATTTAAAAAATAAGCATTAAAAAATTTTAATTTAGGTTTGAGCATATCGTAACAAATAAACCTAAAGTTAAATACCTATTTATACTTGGAAAGCAATACATGACTAATTTATAGCCAGGGAAGATCACATGGCTAAGTTTTTAGTGGCCCCTGGGTATAAATCCCATATAATGAGCTATGTAGTTACTGTTGAAGCATTTACCCCTGAGCTATCATGGCTCATGTTTGTGCAAAAAATTGAGTGATGTGTTTTGTAACTTTCATGTAAAAGCACAACTTCGATGTAGTATATTATTAAAGTACTTATTACTTCGAGGCTATATCTAATAGCTTTCTGTCTCTTTCTTTTTTTATACCTGACACTCTTTAAACAACCTGGTGCTATGCACTTTCCTTCTTGTGTTGCCTCTGCGATAGTCTTTCAGCTTCTTCAACGGTGTCGGGAAGAGCAACGTTGATAGTTTCCGGTAGCGTAAAGACCATAGCACTTGCCATAAGCGCTAGACTGCCGAAGAAGATTGCTGGCAAGTTATCGTAATATAACGCCTGTTGGAAAACGATATTAATCAAATATTTAAAGGAAATTGCTGTTTTGTAGAAATAATCGCGTTATTCAAACTGAAGTGACAATGAAAACGAAGTCCACCTAATGGTAAGTGACTACTGCAGTCATGGACTCCTGCAGCCAACTCCAAACAAGAAAAACTACAGAAGCGTTGTCACCGCAGAGGACTAAGACTGAATGCATCACAGATTCTAGTTATACTATTATAACAGCAGTGCAAGCATTGATTTTCTGCTGCAGAAATAGGTCAAAGGGTAACCCTCACCTTACCCAGGAGGACTCGTAGCCAGGAAAGGAATCTCACCACCTGTTAAAGGTGATGAGTGTACACATGAAAGGCTGGGCGAATTATGGCATAGAAGTCAATTATATATAAAATAGCATATAGGAAGTCTATTTTTTATAACAATTATTAATAAATTTGTATCTACACCCAGCGAATTCGAGGAGTTAAAAAAGCTAGCTACTATTCTGCGGGTTTTAAGTCCCATTCAGAACAAAGATTAATAAAAATATACTTTAATAAAAAAGGTTAGTATTTTGTTGTATGATTGCATCCCACGTCATACTTAAGCTTAAGTGCCTAGTTATGGTAAGAGCCTTTTAATTGCAGTTATTTGTAGATTTTGTTATCGATAAATATTAATTTTAATAACTTTATTTACAAGTGTGAGAAATCAATTTACTGTAAAATAGATTACTGAAAAACAATAATGGCAGAAAAATTGTTGACAAAAATTATTGCGTCTAGAAATAAATTATATATAAAATGAGTTCTATTATTTTTCTATGATTTTTCAAATAAAAATGTATTTTAATTAAAGCCACAGAAAAAAAACAAACATTTTTGGGAATATCAAATGACTGAAATCATTTTACTCTATTCATGTGTTGCCATTTACTATACTCATATTATTTTCGTATACACTTTGTAAAATTACCAACACAACAAACAAACACAAAATATTTTTGTATTAAGTTATTATAAGTAATAACTATACTATCAGTAATAATAAAAATACGTGGTAGAGCCATGCTGCACCTATATTAGTATAGTTGTAGCACGAATGGGTCAGCTCGACCGGGGAAGGACCACGCTCTCACAGAATACCAGTGTAAAATGGTAGATTGACACTGCTGTGTTTCGTATGGTAAGTGTAGAGAACCGGAGACCCATTTTACTGGAAAAGAGGCATTCCACCTTAGCTCTCACGGGTGACGACGCATCTGCATTTTGGTTCTTTATTGAGGATAAATGTAGATGTCTGATGACTGAGCACACAGTCCATCCACTTACCATCAGATGGACTGTGTGCTCGTTTGTCACCATATCCTATAAAAAAATAAAAGTGTTATGGTTGAAAATAAGTCTCTTACAAAGAATACAATAATACATTTTCTCAATCATAGTACTATGTAACAATTTCATTTAATGTTATGGCAACACTAGCTAAAATAAAATAGCTCTGGTTTTTTTTACTAGCTTTACGGCTCTGGGTTCTAGCCCTTCTGAGAATGTCACTGTATGACACAAAGGCCCTGGAGCCAGGCTAGAAGTATACATTTATAGTATGCAAATATATGATAGAGATATAATAATCTAAAAACTCTGAATTATGTAGGTAGGACATTATGTTGAGAATGTACCTATTAAGCTAACATCAAACAACCACAGTACGCATGACTTTTTCCAAGTGACATAAGACATAACCTAAAAAGGTTCAAATCTAAATATCTTTTTTTTGACGCCTTCTCAGGACAAAATTTACAGAGTTATTAAGGGACTGACGCTTAACATTTTAAGATATTTTTGATATATAGACGCTACCATTCCTTCTCAAGTAATTTCATGTATGAAAGTCTGCCATTGTTCTTTTATTTCTTTACGAGCCATAGTATGTAAATTGTTAGCATAATTTATTGTTTCATGATATACTTTAATAATTCATTATGCGCGACAAATATTTATTTTTAGAGTCTTTACAGGTCATTGGATTATACTTCGTTTAGAAATAAAATTCCAGTTCCAACCATAAATAGAAAAACCTTTTTATTAAGGTTTTTAGTAAAATGCATTGTTTCATGATATACTTTAATAATTCATTATGCACGACAAATATTTATTTTTAGACTTCTTACTGGTCATTAGATTATACTACGTTTAGGAATAAAATTCCAGTTCCAATCATAAATAGAAAAGTCTTAATAAAATACACTTTTTGATACAAAATGTACGTTTAAATGTTTATAACAATGTTTTAGAACCGTAAAGCAAACAAAAGCCCCGTATCGGATTAAAAATGTTTATTCATTAACCGTTATAAATCAAACTAGCCGGATAAGAAACACGTTCTCTTTTGTACAAAAGAAATATAATAACGTAGCAATAAAAATATGGCGTTACTAATGTTATTTGAACACCACAATTTACTAAAACAAATAGTACATATAAAATAAAAAAATAATTAAAAATTAAGAACGTTTGCGCAGGTCACTACATCTTAAAAAAAAAAGATATAATATGCCTATTATTAACAGCTATTTATTCCATCACAGCTTTATCACCTGTTCAGTGATGTCTCAGTGATCGCGAGGGTGAAAACTGGTAGCGATCACCGTATACGTAGAACCTAAATGTTAAGTTGGAGAGGTGTCGTCTAATGGAGTCAACGCTCCGTCCCCCTCGTGCTAGAGCCTGGGTTAGCCTGGGTTTCAGGACCCTGTATAAGAATCCAGGATCCCAAAACCTTTTAGCTCAAGTTACAAAACCGTTTTCAGTGCCTAGAAGATTGAAAAACAGTGGACGATATGACTGACGAGCTCGTGGGATCTGTCCATGCGGTCAGAGCTAAGTTTTGCAAGAACCGCCACAGCAGAACACAAAAACTCTCCGATCAGACTCATAAACTCATGACTGTTAGACGGTAAATGAAGTTGCAGTCTTCATTAGATTTGACAGCATACAGGCAACTGAACAACAGATCTCCACTGAAGAACAACATGCACGCGGCGGGACTTGTGCAACTTTAATACAGCTCGTATTGGAGAAGCGATCGAGCAGAAATAGAGCTCTAAAGTCTTTACCAGAGATTTGTCTGACAGAAAGAGCCAACTGTCGAGGCTGAAGACCGAATGTGGCAGCATCGTTTCCGAGACACCTGAGATTTTGAGTGACATTGAGAGGTTCTATGGGGTGCTGTACACATCATCGTTGGAGCCACATGCCAGGACACACGATCCAAGAGCAAGTCTTATCCGACACTATCCCGATGATATCCCGGCCGTCAGTCTGAGCGAGATTAGAATGGTTCTCCAGATTTTTAAAGATGGAAAGTCCCGGGCGAGGATGGAATTACAGCGGAGCTTCGGAAAGCGGGTGGAAAACTGGTACTTCTAGTCCTTTAGAAGCTCTTTAATTCTGTCTTCCATGGTGGTACTACACCGGAGGCGTGGAGCAGAAGTGCAGTGGTCTTGTTCTTCGAGAAAAGTGACAATGCTCTCTTGAAGAACTACAGACCGATTTCTCTTCCGTCTACGTGCTGTTTTTGAGAGTCCGTACCAATCGTCTCACACGCAGACACGACGATTTCCAGCCTCCCGAACTAGCCGGTTCCCTAAAAGGCTTTAGCACCATAGACTACATAAATACCCTTTGGCAAGTTGTATACAAGTCCTAGGAGTACAATTTGCCACTATTTCTTGCGTATGTGGACTATGAGAAAGTCTTTGATTCCGTCTAAATTTGGGCGGTGCTGCAGTCCCTTTAGCGGTTCCAAGTTGACTGCCAAATAGAAACCTTTACAACTGCAGAGAGGTGTAAAACAGGGTAACGTTATATTCCCGAAATTCTTCACCGCTGCATTGGAAGACGTTTTCAAGCTACTGGACTGGAAAGGGTACGTTATTAAGGTCAATAGCGAATACATCACTCAACTTCGATTTGCCGACGATATAGTCCTTATGGCAGCATCGCTGAAGGACCTAAGCACTATGCTCAATGACCTCAATAGTGCAGACCTGGATAGGTCTTAAGATGAACATGGATAAAACAAAGATCATGTATAACGTCCATGTCACATCTATACCGGTAGTTGTTGGGAGAACTGAGCCCGAAGTTGTTGACGAGAATGTTTACCTGGGACAAATAGTCCGACTAGGTAAGTCCAACTTCCCCCCCGAACGGGTTCCCGCCTTGTCGTGGCGGGGGGGCTTAGTAGCCGTGGCTTGGTCACCCACGGTGAACAAAGAGGAACCCCTTGGTTGGCCCGTAGTGTGGGGCCGGGCCGAAGTGGCCACTCCGAGTGGGCTTGGCGAGCCCACTTCGGATGTGTGTCGGTAGGCTTGCGGTAAGAGGGGTGTCTGCTCCCTCTACCGCTGCAGCCGAGGTGGAGTCGCGGAGAAAGAAGAGTGTTGGTATGGCGATGCGCCACTCGCCATATCCTCCGCGACTCTGACGGGGCCGCAACGTTAATGATGCGGTGGTGGTGGGGCTGCGGGGAGAGAGGAGTGTCGGTATTGCGAGGCGCCGCTCTCCTTACCTTCCGCAGCCGAATCTTGGTTGGCGGCGGAGCCATAGACCAGATCCGCCGCTGGGGTCAGGAAGGCTGGTGCTTCTGAGTGCTAGTTTTTCCTGGCTCCATGGCCTTCGCGCATCGGACACGGGGGCGTCCGTTGCGCATGTTAAGTTGGAGGCCGAGGAGGAGGGCGCGCTATGTGTTCTGGTGTGCCTTGCCTGAGAGGGAGATGGGGGGAGGAGTGGTCCTCTCCCGAGGAGAGGCCGCCATGGTGCGGCCAGCGCAGGTGGGGCCGCGGCGGTGTGCGAGAGCGTTCCCGTGGCCCTGCCAATATGCGACGAGGGTGGAACACCATGGGGTTTTAGTCGGTGCGAGTCCGACATAACCTGTCCTTGGTCCCGCGGGGCGGGTGTGCGTGGGCATTTCCCCATGTAAAAAAAAGGTAAGTCCAACTTCGACCGAAAGTTCAATCGACGGATTTGACTCGGTTGGGCAGCGTTCGGGAAATTACGACACATCTTTTCGTCAGGTATACCTAAAAACTTGAAAACGAAACTGTACAATCTTTATACGTGGTAGAGCCATGCTGCAGTTATATTAGTAGTATAGTTGTAGCACGAATGGGTCGGCTCGACCGGGATAGGACGACGCTCTCACAGAATACCAGCGTAAAATAGCAGTTTAACACTGCTGTGTTTCGTATGGTGAGTGTAGAGAACCGGAGACCCTTTTTACTGGAAAAGAGGCATTCCATTTTAGTCGTCACGGGTGACAACGCATCTGCATTTTAATTCGCAAACGAGAATAAATGTAGATGTCTATGAGCCACAGCAACCACTTACCATTAGGTGGACTGTGTGCTCATTTGTCACCCGATCCTATAAAAAAAAACCAGTGCGTGTATCTAGTGATGACTTATGGAACTGAGACGTGGTCGTTCACTGCTGGCCGTATGAGGAAGCTTCCTTGAGCTCAAGGTTTCTCAGCGAGCTATGGATAGGGCTATGCTCGGGGTTTATCTGCGTGATGAACTTAGAAATGAGGATATCCGCAATAGAACCAGAGTGACCGACATATCCCAACGGATTAGTATGCTGAAGTGGTAATGGGCCGGCCATTTAGCACGAAGAACCGACTGCCGGTGGGGAAAAAAAGGTTCTCGAGTGGCAGCCTCGTACCGGTAGGCGAAGTGTAGGGCCACCCCCTACTAGATAGAGTGACGACCTGGTAAGACATGCAGAAAGTCGATGGATGCAGGTGGCTCAGGACCGTGTTTTGTGGCATTCCTTGGGAGAGGCCTATGTTCAGCAGTTGACTTGTGAAGGGCTGTAATCATGAATGATGAGTATCACACATACATGCATATATTTTAAACAAATATTAAATAAAAATTCTTCATTGGTAAAGTCAACTAGTATGTGATGAAACCAGATATTGTTTGTGTCATATATGGGAACTTTAAAATATTTTAGAATTCCTTGTACCAATTAGGAAAAAGTGTCTCCAGTATACGTCACTTCCGCGGTCGAGCCGATTCATTCTCCGATACACTTCAGCGTCATTTTACCACATATCAAAATCTTGCAAAAGTAACAACAAGTCCAGCTTTTAAATATTTGAAATAAACGCATTGATTTACCAGTAAAGGCGTTAAAGGAGCTAGCGTGGATCCAACACGTCCCAGAGACGAGCAAACTGCTAGAAGTGACTGTCGCATACTCGTCGGGAACACTTCAGACACATAGATGTAGACAGAACTATACGCAACCGTGATGGAGAATTTCCCGGAGAGGTATAACACCAGGGACCACCACTTTTGATCTGTTGGAAAAAAACCATTATAATAAAGATATTATGTACGTAGAAAATACGACATAGTTTTGTCAATAAAAAGCTTAGGCATGGTTTTGCTACTTTTTCAATAATTACGTGGTAGAGTCATGCTGCAGCTATAGCTGCAGCATGACTCTACCACGTAATTATTCCCCATTCGTGCTACAACTACACTAATAATATATTATTAGTGTAGTTGTAGCACGAATGGGTCGGCTCGACCGGGGAAGGATCACGCTCTCACAGAATACCAGCGTCAAATAGCAGCTTCATGCTGCTGTGTTTTGTATCGTGAGTGTAGAGAACCGGAGACCCTTTTTACTGGAAAGGAGGCATTCTATCGTAGTCCTCACGGGTGACAACGCATTTGCATTTTGATTCCCAGGCAAGGATAAATGTAGATGTCTATGGGCCATAACAACCATTTACCATCAGGTGGACTGTGTGCTCGTTTGTCACCCTATCCTATAAAAAAAATTCATTACAGTCTATAAAAAGCCCCCTGCTGAACACTTTTTGTTTTGCTTGCTCGGTAAGCGGGTTGATAACTGCAGTTTTCATTATGTCGAGTTGTTATAAGCATGATGCTACTGACGATCTCTTGTTACATTTCCCTCTGTCATCTCTTATGCCGCCACTACACTGTAAGCATTATTATTGTTGTTTAAAGAAAATTCCACCTCATTCTTCCTATATTTTGACTTCTTTTGTTTTTAAATAATATGTTGTATATAGCATATACATCGCAATATAAGTATATAAGGCTGATAATATACAGTAGAGTTATTAATTTATAGTTTATTTATTTATATGTTCTTATATCGTGTAATGTGTAATTTTTTATAGGATAAGGGTGACAAACGAGCACAACGTCCACCTCATGGTAAGTGGTTACTGTGTGGCCCATAGGCATCTATATCTATCCTCGATTACGAATCAAAATGCAAATGCGTTGTCACCCGTGAGGACTAAGATGGAATGCCTCGTTTCCAGTAAAAAGCGTATCCGGTTCTCTACACTCACCATACGAAACACAGCATTGTTAAGCTGCTATTTTACGCTGGTATTCTGTAAGAGCGTGGTCCTTCTCCGGTCGAGCCGACCCATTTATGCTACAACTATACTACTAATATAACTGCAGCATGGCCCTACCACGTATAGAAATATATTTAGGACCGATTTTTCCGACCGATAAAATAGAACCAAATAATTAGAAATGATAGAATTAAAAATAAGATAATCCCGTAGGTGTCTTATGAGGTGACAGAGGGAAACTTAAAAAGGAAATAGCAGAATCTTCCTGATATCAACTCCAAATATTTAAAAAAAATGTGTTTCCCAACCCGTTTGTCAAGTTTGGCAACTAAGTCAAATATTCCCACTTAGAGGCAATCTTTGACGGAGGACTATGTTTAGCAGTGGACTGATAGGCTGTTATGGATAAAAGGATGGAAGAATATTTTCTTTAAATTTGTTTCGTCCTTTAATTACCTGAGGGGGGAATTAGGTCAGAAAAAATCACGATTAAACACGATGGGACAGGAGGGATAACGTAACAATCGTGTGCCAAAAATGTGATTTTATGTGTGACGTGTAAAATGTATTTGATCAATAGTGAACCCCGTAAAAAAGAGTAAATTTGTGTCTAAAAAATTTCGCTAGCCGTGAGTCACTATTTCATATTAAGGTAGATTTTACGGTTTCAGCTAATCGGTATAATTAGGACTCGTTTACGAAGCCATAACTCGAACTAGCTGCAATAATTAAATTACAATGTTTTATATAGTTATGTAAAATTTTATAAAATACCCATGATGAGGGGTACTTTAAATCCTCACGACGTTTCATCAAGGAGGATGGGAGGGTGTAAAGTGGCCTAAAACGTCACGTGATTAACGGATAGTCCCTTTCTTGACATTACCTACCTTTAAATCTATATTAAATTTAGTTATTTTCTCTTAACATGTATAAAATACGTTATGGACCAAGGGATTAATAGGGAAGCATTCGTATTGTCCAGATAGTTTGCAAAAATGCCTAATAGGAGTAGGCAATATGATAAAACTAATGTAATAATACATTTTTTGATTCAAGGTAAAGACATCCACATCTATCCTCAATTAAGAATCAAAATGCAGATGCGTTGTCACCTGTGAGGGCTAAGATGGAATGCCTCGTTTCCAGTAAAAAAGGGTCTCCGGTTCTCTACATTCACCATGCGAAACAGCATTAAGCTGCTTTCTTACGCTGGTACCTATGTTGTTAGAGCGTAGTCCTTCACCGGCTGAGCCAAATCCGTTACTTATTAGGCAAAGTAATAAAAACGTAGGTTAGGTTATGATCAGACAATATAATAAATAATGAACTTTAATCAATATTAATTACTTAACTCGATTTGACTTATTATCATTCATATTGTCCCGGCGTTATACCTAAATAGTCCCCTGAATAATCACTTGATTTATAACACATATAATAACAATTTGTTATTTCATAAATGCACCAGTAGGTTGTCACGTAGTTTGTATAAACACTTATTTAATATCGATATCAGTAACAAGAATTCTAACAGCAATTTATAAAGTAATATTTATTTGACCGGTACCAATAAATAAACTAGGAAAGCTGGAACGTAAAATGCAAGTCAATTTTAAAACCGATTCCCTCTTCATTCATTTATTCATTTAATGTTTGCCTAATGGGGCCTCGCCTGGTTTTACTACAGCCGCGAGAAGTATTATATTTTATCAACTGTTTTTTCAGAACCAAGTGCTAGTGAAGACTTATTCGAAGACCAAAATTCGGTCTCGACCAATTGATATTAGGTTTTTATACCACTTACACTAGGTAGGGGTGTGGATTAGTGCAGGTACGATAACCACTGAATAAAAAGTCAGTAAGTGAAAATTAGGATTATTAGAAGGATTTATCGTCAGCCTTTCGCCACAGACTCTTCCTTAAACCAACGGGGTGCATCTTATGTTGGTGACTTTGATATCACATACAAATATAAACGGGAAATGAAACGTACTAAATTCAAGGTTGAGCTATTAAGAGTAAGGTAAGAGAATTGATTACCCGAAGCCATTCCGTAGGTGTTATAAGAGTCGACAATGGGAATTGCCAGAAAGATTTCAAGTCTTCGGATAGAGAGAGGTATAACAATCTCTTTTCTCCCAGATGTAAAATACACAGACCCGCAACAAGAAGAAGCGTCGAAGATGTGAGGCTCCTGGTACTACGAATGTGAATTCACTTGCATAGTGTTAAAATTAAATCCTATATACAAAGTTAAAGGTTAACGTTCAGCAGTGAATTATTACAGGCTGATGATGAAGAAGAAATTTAAGTTTAGAAATAAACCAAGAACAAAATCATTTTAAATCATTAAAAAAAAGGTGGTAGGACTCCTTTTCTGCCTAAGAGTCTATCCAAAAAATTAGAGTAGAAAGAGTTAGAGAAAGAGTAGAAGTAAATTAGAGTAGCGTATATGGTATTAGAGTATATGTAGGGGATATAGAGCAGCGGATACAGTTTTGAGAATTGTTACCAAGTATAAGAAACAACCTTATCTAAAGTATATTAATGTATGTGATAGTAAATATAAGCCGTTTTATTACAAAAAAAAAAATATATAATTAGCCTTAGTTTTAAAGTTACAACTAGCGTCTGTTTCAATAAAGGAGTCCCACGGAAAATATGAAATAAAATGTACAATCTAGAAATGTCTGCTAATGGCAAACATTATTACCTATTTCTGCTACCAAATAGCTTCTGAGTGCAGTGATTGAAGTTATATGTTAGTCAGAATTATTATGAGCATACCATCTTAGTCCTCAGAGGTGACAACGAATCTTTTCCCTTCTTTGAAGTATTCCTTTGAAGTTAGCTACAGATGCCCAACGATTGCAGAAGGCATCAAGAAGACTCTGAAGTTCGTTTTCCACTTAAGTTTTATGAAAAAAATCTATCGTTCAAAATATTTGTACATTGCTTAATTCATTTTTAAAGTTTTCTTTGCTCATTTTAAATGTTAACCTTGTCCATCACTAGCGAGGGGTGCGACTAAGCTGATTTAACTTGAATATTCCATTAATTCTGGCTGTTTGTTAAACAATTATCACTAAACAAACAAGGCCCCTGTAAAATTCTAGTGGCGGAGTCCAAGTTGAGGTGTCGACAAATTAGGATCGTCAGTTTTGGGACTGTTAACTTTTGTTACAATTAGATTGTTTGAACAACAAGTATTATTTTGTTTTAATTATAGGTGACCCCTAATTAAATTACTTATTTTAAACTCTTAATTAATAATATATTTTTAAGATTCTCGACAATTATAATATTATCTTTGAAGATTCAGAGAAGTTTGCATATTACAACTACCGCTTCTTTAGAGGTAGTCTTTGAAAGAGGTCTACAAATTAGTACAACATGAAATTAGATGTGATTAAGATACTGAAAAAGGGAATGTTTGCCGTGAGTCCGCATTAGGAAATCGACCATCCAGTCTATGCGATGACGGTTGTAATATACAACTAAGAAATCATGTGAATTATGAGATAGAAAGCTATTAGCTACAGTTGTCAAACTTACTAAAATAACTGGTAAGATAGCCTATACAGATACTACAGACGAGTTATGATAACTCTCTGCAAACAATGCACCAACTTGGTTCTAACCATATGAGAGCCTTATGATTATATGAAGCCTTCAAAGTATTTCCGAGCTGGAAGCAAATTACATAGGCCTACTAAGCGTAAACTTTGCACATTATGACTGATGATATAGATGCAGTCATTATTAGTTGTATATGGAGATATGTTTTTTTTTTATAGGATAGGGTGACAAATGAGCACACAGTCCACCTGATCGTAAGTGGTTGCTATGACCCATAGACATCTACATCTATCCTCAATAAAGAATCAAAATGCAGATGCGTTAAGACTAAGATGGAATGTTTCTTGTCCAGTAAAATGGGACTGGATTTTACACTCACCATACGAAACACAGCAGTGTTAAGCTGCTATTTCACGTTGGAATTCTGTAAGATCGTGGTCCTTCCCCGGTCGAGTCGACTCATTCATGCTACAACTATACTAGTAATATAGCTGTAGCATGGCTCTACCATACAAGCTTACGCACTCATTACGCACTATGTAAGAATGAGTGCGACTGAATGGCATTATGCCCTATTTTCTCTCTGCTGTGAGGTGATAGCGTAAAAATATACAAAACTTCCATACTATTAGGGAGACGGGCAATTTCAAAAAGTAATTCGGAATTAACCTGACCAAATATAAATTTAAAAGTAAATTTGGATTTATTGAAAAAAGGTAACCATTTCAATTAAGTATACAATGCAAGTATTTTTAAATTCATGTACAAAATTTCTTACTGTTAAATTGTTTGTTTCGTAAGTAATGTCTGGAGTGATTTACTAAGAAAATATTTTTGAAACTTCTCAATGGTTCCTTGCAATTGTGCAATTATTGCAATCTGCATAATATTCTCTGCTTATATAGAAAAGAAATTGTACAAGTGCGATGTTTCAAGTTAACTGGTAAAAATATTTACTCACCTTTAGGAAGCAGGGAAAGGCTGATGCAGAGACACGCACTCAACACATACGTTATAATTAAGGTCCGTTTCCTTCCATATCGATCTAAGACAAGTAGACATACGAAATTCGCCGGTATCTCCACAAAAGCGACTAACATGAAATTAATGTACTTATTCCCAGCCAGTGACACTGAGTTTATCGAAAGTCCGTAATAGACAAATGTACACGTAATCCACAGAAACGAACACACGAGCACTCTTTTTCTTATTATACGAGATTTTATCACTTGAATAAATGTTGATGATTTTTTCACTTCTTTTTGTATTTCTTCATTTTGTGTTTCATTTTTAACCTTTTCAAAATCTTCCGCTCTCCCCAATTTGTAAAGCGGAGCCAGAACATCATTGGAGAGGTCAACATTATTCATTTTCATTGCCTTCTTTAGGACATTAGCGGCTTCGTTATTACGTCCCTTACTTAGCAACCATCTGACGCTTTCGTTCAGAAGCCAAAGGTATGAAATTACGAGCATCGCTGGAGCGTAAATGATTCTAAGGAGTTGCCTCCAACTTTGCAACCACCAGGAGAGGCCAGCTAAAGACATCAGACCCAGAACATACACTGCGTTTATTATAGTATTTCCGAATACTCTTCCCTTTGGTCCGACGAGTTCCATAGCTAAAATAAAAATTAACTTATGACTTTTTTTCTAACAGTGGATGTTGACTTAAGTGCTTAGTTCAGATACTAGGAATTAAAACGATTTAATTATTTTATATACTTAGTGTATACTAGGTTCAATGTGAGGAGAAAAGCATAGGTAAAGGTCATCAAAAATGATTTATAAATATTTTTCATTCATTAATGTTTACTGTAAAACATAGGTCTCACTATAGATTGCCACATAAGGAGGATATTTCCCACGCTTGGCAGACTTGGCAGATAATTTTTGATAGCATGGTAGGACCACGCTGTCACAGAATACCAGCGTAAAATAGCAGCTTAACGCTGCTGTGTTTCGTATGGTGAGTGTTGACAACCGGAGACCCTTTTTACTGGAAATAAGGCATTCTATCTTAGTCCTCACGGGTGACAACGCATCTGCATTTTGATTTGTAATAGAGGATAGATGTAGATATCTATTAGCCGCAGCAAACACTTACCATCAGGTGGACTGTGTGCTAGGTTGTTACCCTTATCCTAAAAAAAACAGAGCCCGTGTTAGCGTAAAAAGATATGGATAACTGATGAAATTTGTATTTGTTTTTTTGTTGTTCGTTTGGACTTAATAAAGAAATATTTTTTAACAAATGTACTGACACTTTTGTCATAGAAACAATATAAAACGTATTTAATATTTTAAATCTCAAACAATGTTATTATAAATTCACAAATTATTTTTTAATCTTTCACTTGGCCTGTATTATTTGAAAAACAAAATCAATCATTTTTTCCCAAAAAATTTAATGCTAAACATATGCATCATTATCATCATTTCAGCCACTCAAACTTCCACTTTCAGCATACGATTTCCCTCGCTTGGCAGGCGGGTTGGCATCTGCAGATTTTTTATTATTTTTAGTTCTTACTACGACACCTACGGGCTTTTGAGGAGTAGCTGTTTCCTTTATGATGCTACTACACGGCACAAATATATTTTAATTGAAAGTAAAGACTTTAGAAATGAGTTGGGGGTGATTCGAACTCGGCCTTTTTCTTTACATGGGGAAATGCCTACCAACGTCGTACTAGCCTCACGGGGGCAAGGACAGGTCATGTCGGACTCGCACCGACTAAAACCCCATGGCGTTCCACCTTCGTCGCATATTGGCAGGGCCACAGGAACGCTATTGCACACACACAACTTTAGGCCTTGTCAGTTTAGTTCAGCTATTTAGCCTATTATGTAGAGGATGTCATGGGGGTCATTTTTGAATACAGGCAAAAAGTTCTCATTACACTCCTAGGGGGTGAAAATGGCCAAAAATCAAAAAATTTAAAAAATCTTATTTCGGCTATAAATCCGTCTCCTTCGGAGGTTCTTACACAGCCTCTACTTCCGCATCCCACTTGTTTAATAATTAAAAGGAATAAATAATTTGCACGTTCGAGAAAAAAAAAACTAAATTAGTTATAGTTTACTTAATAAACAATATTTTATCAAAAGCGCGCCGAAAAAAATTGAAGAGCTTAAGGACAATGGGCCTGAATAAACACTAACAATTACTTTGTCGCAGGGATAATTAATGGCGTCCCTTTGTTGGGCGACGTAATTAGAGAAAAGATTTGGGTCGTAGGTAAACCTCCACACAGATTGAATAGGGACCGGTTTGTGTCTGACAGGAGTGTTACATTGATAGTAATTATTGTACGCTATTGTTCATATTGTACGGTTTTTAGACAAATTATCTAGTCTAATTGCATGTAATTGATGTTATTTATAGGCCATCGAACATTTTAGCTAATTATTATTTTATTTTATATTAATATCATATTATTATTATTTATGTTTCTTTATCATTTACTTATAAAATTGAGCCATTGAAGGAGGCCAGGAAGTTTTTTTTTATTGAATAAGGTGACAAACGAGCACACAGTCCACCTGATCGTAAGTGGTTACTGTGGCCCATAGACATCTACATCTATTTTCGTTTGCGAATTAAAATGCAGATGCGTTGTCAGCCGTGAGGACTAATATAGAATGCCTCTTTTCCAGTAAAAAGGTCTCCGGTTCTCTACACTCACCATACGAAATAGCAGCATTAAGCTATGTTACGCTGGCATTCTGTGAGAGCGTGGTCTTTCCCCGGTCGAGCCGACCCATTCGTGCTACAATTATACTATTAATATAGCTGCAGCATGGCTCTACCACGTATAAAAGTTAAATAAGAAGTTAGATATTCCTGCAGATCTGTAATGGTAATTCACGCCGGCACAAACTATCCATAAAAGCGCAAGTCAAGTCACACTGTGTTACATATTATAGTATGCAAAATGTCATCTAATAAGCCTGAGACTCAGCGAAGAGGAATTTATTTTTAAATTGTGTCAGAGAAAGCTAATATGTCGCTAACGTTTCTTTTAGGAGTACATAATAAAATCACAGGGTGAGAAATTTTCTGTACAGAGAAGAGTGTGGTTTGCAAGATGACGTTGTGACCAGCATTAAGAAAGGAATGCTTCGGTGGTTTGGTCACGTAGAAAAAATGAACGAGGAAAGAGTGACAAAGCAAATTTATGTTGCAGAAGTGAAAGGCAAAGTCGGGAAGAGACGCCATAGGCGAAAGTTTAGCGACCAAATTGGTGATATATTGAAAATGGGTCAAATTAAGAGTACCTTTAACTGACGAGCGTGTATGCGTATGTATATGGATGTGGAGGAAGCGAGATAGGTGTGTCAAGATCGTGCTAAATGGAAGTCCATAGTTTCTGCCTACCCCTCTGGGTGACAGGGGTGAGTGTTTATGTTGTCATGCGTATAATACATATCTCTTATTGATTAAAGGTAGGTCTGTAATAGGAGATTTAATTGTTTACAGTTATAAATGTCTTTAAAAACGAACATGCAGAGCGGCGGAGCTTTCGGCATGAACTGACGCTCTTTTATTTTAGTGCCCTAAGTTTAGTCGTTAAAAATGCTTGCAGAATCCGAACAGTGAAAGCAAATTACTGAGTTTCTGCCTTAGAGTATTTATATGGCTTGCTTATTTATTTCTGATTTTTCAGTGCGTGCATTGTTGGAGAGCGGAGCGGATTGTTTGGTTTGCGTAACAAACCCAGACTCTTGCTTCTAAGTGTCCTTGGTTTTTTTATAGGATAGCGGGCAAACGAGCATGCGGCTCACTTGATTGTAAGTGACTACCGCCACCCATGAACAACTGCAACACCAGGGGAATTGCAGATGCGTTGCCGTCCTTTTAAAAAGGAGTAGGCTCTTTTCTTGAAGTCGTATCGGTCCGGGAAAATTGCTGGTGGTGGTAATCGATTCCACAAGAAAGTTGTGCGAGGAAGAAAACTTCTTCTAAATTGCACAGTGATGGACCGCCAATCACGCAGATAGCATGGATGAATCACGGGTTTTGTCGCGATGTGCGATGGTGAAATTGAACGGCTGGAATTAGTCCGAACTATTCCTCAGAGCACTCTGGTGACTCTGCTTTAGTAATATGCCGCAATACTGCTACTCGTTTCTTTGTGACGATCGTTCAGTAAACCAGCATTTGTTTTTCATTACTCTACTACAACGAAATGTTCTGTTTGTAGATATCAGGTGTCAGTTTGTAATTTTAGTTTGTATATTTGTAAGTTGACAATATACCGAGGTTACATACATTTAAATCAAGTGAACTATTTTGAATATAATAAAAGGTTTTCTAGTGACAGCCTCGTACTTGGAAGAGTAGTTTCGGGCAACCACTACTAGATGGAGTGATGACCTAATTAAAAACGCAGTTGATGGATGAAGGTGGCTCAGGATCGAACTTAGGATCGGAAATTTATAGGATGTTCTAGGTTTGTAGTGGAATTGTGATAGTAAGTAGTGATAGTGATAGTAGAGGTAGATCACAGAAAAAATTTAAAAGGAAGTAAATTAATTTTAAAATTGTCTTACCAAGTACAAATGCGGTACTATAAGCACCAGCTCCTAAACCGGCCTCTAAAAATTCTAAAACAAGCATCATCGTGTAACTGGTTGAGAATGATCTAATGAAACCAAACAATCCATTCATGAGCGATGCTATTGACAAAGCGACCTTTCTGCCGTATCTGTCGGAGATTATTCCGGTCACTGGTAAAGATAGGAACAGACCGGAGTTGTGTATTGTTCCAATCAGTGTCCTCTTCCAATTCTGACAGCCGAGGTCGAACTGAAACAAATCTTTAATTAGCAAGAAGCCGCTCTGCTTAGAACAAAGTGAGGTACATCTCGCGACGAGTTGGGGTCGTTCATCTTTTTGAAGATAATGAGGCTTTTGAATTACAACTTCCTTAGGCGTGACTTGAGGGTAATTCAGGTTTTTTTTGGTAAAAGTACCGTTCAATAAAATCTATAGTTGTTTTACGTAATTTACGCATTTATTTAGACAGAAACCGACTATAGAACTTCGTATGTATACAACACATAATGTTATTTAAAAATTTCTAAAATATTATGAATTATTCTTAAATTTATTTCTAATATAATTTCATACAGTTAATCATAAACATTTTTATCATTTTACTGATAAATATTATATTAATATAGTAATAAATACGTAACAGAAATATTTTTAATGAATATTAATATAATTAAAAAGTTATAATTCAACCGCGAGTAAAGACACGCACTCATTTTTGTACAAGGGACCAAAAGATCACACTGGCGACCAAATGATAAGTGGAGGCTAAGATATTGGATGCCAGGCTAAAAATAAAAAAAAAAACAATTGCCTCGTAAAGTTTTGTTTTTTATTTTCCATATTACTTCTCAAAGGTTTACATTCCTGTTTATTTCAGAAAACAAAATTTATATATTCCAAAAATGTTTTGTCAAGCAGATTCTCTACAAAGTTTCCTCATATTACTAACATGCATTTCGTGTAAAAGTAAAGTTATGATGCACGAAGGCTATTGCATAAATAGTTGCAAGACTGATCTCACAAGCTAAACGTGTAAAAATATACTTTCTGGGTCTGTAATAATTATTATTACTTTTATTAAATGCTCTTTTTACATCAATGTACTGTTTTTCATGAGTTAAATGAGGTTTCTCTGATTATCACTGAGGTTGGATCCTTTTTGACGTCACACAACTACATAATTACTAATTTGGAATAAGAGTTCTACGGGTTATAATTAGTGACCGACCGAAGATTCGGTTTTCAGTTTTGGTTTTGGCAAGTTTCGGCAAAAAATATAGTTTTGGTAATAGTTTCGGTTTCGGCAAAATATCTGCCGAACCTTCGGCGGCGCCGAAACTCAGTGTTCGTGGATTATCATGCGTCGTTCGGATGAGTTTGTGACTCGTGTATTATTCATAATTAGACAGAAACAGAAAAAGAAGCTTTTTTTATTCAATATAGATTATAAATTACTAAACTAATACTTATTGAATTTTACGCATACTTATTACTAATAATTATTGAAGGTCACTTTTTTATTTAATTACCACTGGTACGAAAAAAACCCTCATCCTTGGAAGAACAGCAAGAAACCCAGCGGGACTTTTTTTTTAAATAACAGCTTACAATCAGAGGCGTAGCGTGGTCGAGGAACGTGGGCGAAGTTCCCCTTTCTTTCGTTCCAAGGATCTACCCAATAGATCTATCCTACCAAACATGCTTTGACACAACATACCATTCACATATCTATTAATTCCTGACAAGTCTCGTATTACGTCAAATAAAACAGTCTTTGAAGGTAGTTACAACGGCCTCGCAGTCGCACATAAGAGGGGCTTCTTGCGAGGCCCCAAACAAACACATTTAAATTTTAGATTTTCTTTTTCGAGCTTAAAAGTGATCAAATTAATTAGTCATCTGTGGTAAAGTCTGGGGGCACCGCATGTTAAGGGACCTCGCGAGGTCCCTTTAAGTGCGAGGCCGTAAGCGAGGGCCTACTTCGCTCACGCCTAGCTACGCCACTGTTTACAATCATGTATGTAACACAATTAACAACACAAAACAAATTAAAAATAGCTTGGTAGTGATCACCTCATTACCAGGGGTTATTATCATCCTTAAATTCCCCTTAAACCTTTTTAAACAAAATTAGTTTATTAAATATGCTCTCAATTAGCGAGTAACTTTTTATAGGTGAAGTGTTGATTTTTTTACAAAATTGACTTATAAAAGTATTTCTTAACGTTAAATTGTTGATTTTTACTTTAAAATAAATAAATATATTGCTGCATGACTATTATAATTACTGTTTTTCATTAACATGCATTACCTATCTGTATATGTATAAAAAAACCGGCAAAGTGCGAGTCGGACTCGCGCACCGAGGGTTCCGAACAAATCCGTAGGTATATAAGTTTAAAATTATAAAAATATTTTTATTATATGATGTAACTTAAAATTTATGCTTTTCGCAATTTTCCCTTTATCTGTGCTATAATAACTTTCTTCGTACCAAATTTTAAGATTCTAAGTTTACGGGAAGTACCCTGTAGGTTTTGATTCCCTTGCGAATGTCGAAAATTTGCGGCATAAACGGCTGTATCTTTTGATTGCGTTGGCTTAGAAGTTTGATTTTTTCACAGCTCTTAGGGACAGTAGACTAGAGTATTTGATATAAATTTCAGCTTGATACTTTCACGCGTTCGTGAGAAAAAGGGTCTTGACAGACAGACAGACGGACAACAAAGTGATCCTATAAGGGTTCCGTTTTTTCCTTTTGAGGTACGGAACCCTAAAAACATACCAGATTTCAGTATACAACAATAAAAATTAACATGTCTACTAAATAAGTTTCGGTTTCGGTTTCGGCCGAAACTGACACCCAGACCGAAGGTTCGTTTTCGGTTTCGGTTTCCGCTGAAAATCCTGTTTCGGTCGGACACAAGTTATAATGTGTCCGCCGCGCTGCCACAATGTTTGTTGTTTGTTTCATATGCCTTTCAAATATAACTATTTTTTAACTTTTCAGCCATGCAGTAGGTTTTTCAATAAGATAGTGTTTCAATTTCCATCAGTACGCTGTATATTGCTGCAATTGGGAGAATTTGTCACAGTAAACCCGCTTCGTTCTACCTGAGATTGGAGATTGCATTTTCAGATTGTAGCCTTTGAGGCCTGTTGTATGTCTTGGCAATTAAACTGGCAAACAGGATTAAAAAGAAATTAAAAAAAAATTGTAAGAATTTTCGTAAAGATATAAAATAGTGAAATACAATGCTCAACTGTCATAGAGAACAATTATTTTTTATAATATTCTTTGTTAAAAGTAACATTAAGCATAAGAATAAGACTGTAGAAAATATAATCTGACGTTTGTTTTGCTCTTATAAAAAAAAACATGTATTAAAATAAAAATAACGAAACAATCAATAAAACATATAAGCAAGGTTATTAAACTTATCGGACATTTGATAAAATATATAGTAATATGTAAATATTTTTAGGTATATTAAACCCGTAGATAAGGGGATTTGAAAATAAATAATGACAAATAGTAGATTGGTTGTAACTTTAATCTTTGCGATAACCTTTCTAACCTTATTATATTTAACTTATCAGCTCTTTGAATGTGCTACTAGACGTAAGTTTTTTCAAGAATGTGTCAAAATGCCGCATGTTTTTAAAGCATAAAACATGTTTATAACTCACTCGCTGGACACGCTGGTTGGTGAGCGAGTTAGATACATTCGCTCTAGTAAAACTGCTACCCATTACCCTTCATAGAAACGTAGGTATGACTTATTAGAATACTTGTAAAAATACTATTTTTCTGTCACCAAAGTCTCGTTCTTTAGTTATCAAGATGCACCAAATGTTGATTAGATTGATAATATGAATATAAAACGTAAATATAAACGCATGTTGCCAAGGAGTTGTTTTATACGTGGTAGTGCCATGCTGCATCTATATTATGGTTGTAGCACGAATGGGTCGGCTCGACCGGGGAAGGACCACGCTCTCACAGAATACCAGCGTTAAATAGCAGCTTAACGCTGCTGTGTTTCGTATGGTGAGTGTAGAGAACCGGAGACCCTTTTTACTGGAAACAAGGCATTCCATCTTAGTCCTCACGGGTGACAACGCATCTGCATTTTGATTCGTAATCGAGGATAGATGTAGATGGCTATGGGCCACAGCAACCACTTACCATTTGGTGGACTTTGTGCTCGTTTGTCACCCTAATTCTATAAAAAAAGACAAATTCCAGTATCTCCTTTCAACTCACGATAAGGTTCTTCACTCTCCATCTAATCATAAGTTTAGTATTCCATCTCATTTCACTAGGCTTACCAACAATCCCTTTACTATTCAGGCAACACTGACTTACTGCATTTTGACTCTTAATCGAAGATAGATGTAGATGTCTATGGGCCACAGCGACCACTTACCATCAGGTGGACTGTGTGCTCGTTTGTCACCCTTAATCTATAAAAAAAAAGGAGGAGTAATCAGAAATTTTGGATTTTCATTTGGCTCGATCCTGACACACCTCTCTCGCTTCTTTCATATCTATATACCAACGCATATATGTTTCGATTGACGTTTGGAGAGGAAGTTGATATTATTGTTTTATCTTCTCACTTATTTATCCAATTATGTGCTTAAAAAAATGCTGTGAGGTGGTAACGTAATTTGTCCATTTTATTTCAAGTGTGTTGTAAGGTTCGACTTAGGAATATGCTATAATGATCTCAAAGCTTTCCATATGTGTTGGTAAGATTATCTTAAAAATATCTACTTAGTTATAGAATAGTTAGTAGTAGTAGTACTTACCTACCTAGTTATTTAAAAAAGAACCTAAATAGCCAGTAACGAAAAATTAAATTAAAAGAGTAAGATGTTTGGGCACTGCGATTGTCAGCCTACATTCTAAGATATGACATCTCCAGTAAAATATATAATATGTTGTTTTGATTGTTTAAAAAACTAAAGTAATAGTTTACGTTTTCTTGACCTCAATCATCTTAGAAATGAAAGGCCTGCGCCCAGAAGTGGGAAGAATACAGAATCCAAATTTAGTTTACTTAATAATAACAATATGTCCTACAGCTAAACACAGGTCTTAGGTTTTTTACGCGGTAGAGCCATGATGCAGCTATATTAGTAGTTGTAGCACGAATGGATCGGTTCGATCGGGGAAGGACCAAGCTCTCACAGAATACAAGCGTAAAATAGCAGCTTAACGCTGCTGTGTTTCGTTTGGTGAGTGTAGAGAACTGGAGACTCTTTTTACTGGAAATGAGGCATTCCATCTTAGTCCTCACGGGTGACAACATATCTGAATTTTGTTTGATGTATATGTCTATGGGTCGCAGGAACCACTTACCATCAGGTGGACTGTGTGCTCGTTTGTCACCCGATCCAATAAAAGAAAAACTAAATTACGCTTTAAACAACTTTTCGAGTTTCTCAATAGAATAGAAATATTTTTGGATATGTACCTGATTACTATATTAATTATTTATTTTATTAATTATTTATTTTATTGTTTACAAAGGATAATTTACGTTAGTAAATTTAAAATAAAGTTTAGTAAGTAACAAACACTTAAACAAGATAAGTATCTAACATTATTATAGTATTTAGCTACCCCATTAATTGGCTTCTGATATGTAATTATCTAACGTCTAACGCCAAATATTGCGTTAAATAAATGTTTATACGTATCATACGTTTTGAAGGGAAAACAGTGATTTAAAGTGTAGTATACAATATTATAAACCTCCTTCGTTTACGTTACATACTGTATACTATATAATAATCTATTTGCCATAAAATTTTTCATTAATGTTTGAGCTGAAATATTAAAATATTTATTAAAAAATTAAATACATTAAAAATATTTTGGCAGTATTAAACCTTACTGTTTATTAAAGATAATATATCTAATACAGACTCTTTTGTACGTGGTGGTCTGGTAGAACCAAGCTGCAGCTATATTATGTTTGTAGCACGAATGGGTCCAACTGAAAGCTACTGTGTTTCGTATGGTGAATGTAGAGAACCGGATGAATACGAGGCATTCCATCTTAGTCCTAAGGGATGACAGCACGTCTACATATAGATTCTTAATCGAAGACACAACTTAAGAAGTAAAAATAAACTCCAACTAATGACTGCACGAACAAATTTTGGCAAAAAAACCCTATTGTTTGAGGGAGCACAGCTGTTCAATAAATTACCAGATGACATTAAAAACTGCAACAACATGAAATTGTTTAAAATTAAACTTAGGAAATACGTACGCACATTGTAATCTTTTTAACACATGGTACCTAATATGTATAAGTGCATAACCTAAGACTATATCGCTTCCAGCACTAGAGGTAGATGTGATAATATTATCAAATTATAATAATTACTTTGTATCTCATTATAAGTGAACCATTGTATGTTCTTATGAAAAATAAAATTCTTTAAACCGAAGACAAATGTAGATGCCTCGGGTCACAGTATCCACTTACTATTACGTGGTATGTACTAGTTTGTCACCCTTATTTTATATTGAAAAACATATTGAATTCTATAATCACTTTAAAAAGAGGAGCAACTGAATTTGTAATCAATAAGTATCTTATTAAAATGAAATTTACTATCGCAAATATCATCCAGTGTTATCAAAACCAACGTTAAATATTGAAACGTTTAATTTGTACACTTTACGGTTCATCGTACTTTACAACACGGATGCGTGTGTCACGCGTGAGTGACCCGTGTGAGATGGGTCTACGGGTGACGACAGCGCGTGTTATGGGTGTGGTGATACGTTATCATTGTTAGAAATGACGTTTGGTTAGTTCATTCAACAAACTTTGTAACTTGTCTCAATTTATATAAATCAGATAAAGAGTAAATATGTGTGATTTTTAATAACACGTGAACCTATCATAACGTCAGTTATTCATACATTACAGCTCATTTTCAGATAATAGGCTGTAATGAAGTCCAGAGGTGAACATAGTCCTCCCCCAAGGAATGCCACAAAGCATGATCCTGAGCCAACAGCATCCATAGACTACCTGCGTGTTTAATCAGGTTATCACTCCATATAGTGGGGGCCACCCTACACTTCGCTTACTGGTACGGGGCCACACGAGAAGCTTTGTTACCTACTTGTTGTCGGTTCTTTGAGTTTTATGGCCGGCTTGATATTTTTTTTTTGGTACTTAAAAAACGTTACCCCCACACTAGGATTTTCTCCTGTGTCGTGGAGGCAGTTTACAAACATAAATTGCACAAGGACAAACATCCAGACCCGGAACAATTATTTTTAGGCCATGCAAATACTTGTTCCGTGCGGGATTCGAACCAGCGGCCCCCAGCGCAACAACTGATTGCTAAGCCACTGCGCCACGGAGCCGTCATACATCACTTTAGCACTACACTTTCATGATATCACTTTAGCTTTAGACTAGTTCGGTTCTACTGTTCTCTGGTTCTACTGCGGATATCCTCGTTTCTAAGTATAGTACGCAGAGAATTTCTGAGTATAGCCCTCTCCATAGCTCGCTCAATCACCTTGAGCTTTCTTATACATATATGGCCAGCAATACAGGATCATGTCTCAGATCCATAATTATATGGTAGACGTATTATACGTTTTACGTTTTATACTTGGTAGAGCCATGCTTCAGCTATATTAGTAGTATAGTTGTAGCACGAATGGGTCGGCTCGACCGGGGAAGGACCACGCTCTCATACCAGCGTAAAATGGCAGCTTGACACTGCTGTGTTTCGTATGGTGAGTGTAGAGAACCGGAGACCCATTTTACTGGACAAGAGGCATTGAGACATCTTAGTCCTCACGGATGACGACGCATCTGCATTTTGATTCTTTATTGAGGATAGATGTGGATGTCTATGAGTCACAGCAACCACTTCCCATCAGGTAGACTGTCTGCTTGTTTGTCACCTTATCCTATAAAAAAATGTCATCACTGGCAACAAGCATTTTTGTTATTAAGTTTTGAGGTATATGTGACGAAAGGATGTTGTGCCGTGATCTCCAGGACGCTTGAATTTTTTTAAGTAATCCATCAGTATATTTATGCCAATAATTAATGATTACTTTTATTACTTACTTTACTAATAACTATTGTAATATTTACGACGAAAAATCGAATACTAAAACCGAATCAGCACGCCCCGACTCCACGTAGTCTTTTTTGCCCTCATTTTTGAGTATCGATATCTCTGAAACTAAGCGAGATATCGAATAATTTTATTCTTACTTTTTGACGTATCTCATCAAGATCTATGCAAATTGTGGCGCCGTAAGAACCGTAGTCGTGCCGTGAGGCCGTCTGTATATTTGAGGAATAAAATGTTTTGTGGATCCGTCAATGTGAAATCCGCCAACACGCATTAGAGCAATGCATTGGACTTATTGCTCTATAATCTTATCATGATTGAGAGGAGGCCTGTGCCCATCAGTGGCATGTATATATAAGCTGCAACTTTGCAATTCTTATCGAATTTTTTTGATAGGATTTTTTTATAGCGTGGTCCTTCCCCGGTCGAGCTGACCAATTCGTGCTACAACTATACTACTAATATAGGTGCAGCATGGCTCTACCACGTGTAAATACGTGATGCTCTGTGTTTCATAAATAAAATTTAATTTATGTTACATGATCGGTACAATGTGCGAAGTATGAAGCAAAAAATGTATATAATAGAGTGGATGAAAATTTAGTTTCTTTTTATTTTCAATTGTCTCTCTGAAAAATTTTTAGCCGAGTGGTAATGCTGATTTCGAGCAGTTACTGATACTGTACTAATGATTATATGATTGGTAGTCCGTTTTTACTACTAAAATTGATAATACCATAGTTTGTTTTAAAATTCTTCCCTGACATCTTATCGACTGCTTCGTTGGTCTAGTGGTCAAAACGCCACCGATTATCTGAGGTCCCGGGTTCGAATCCCGTATTGGGTTTTGATTTTTATGACAAGAAATTCTCAGTAGCATCCCGGAGTCAGGAAGTTGGTGGTTTTTCACCCCCGTGACTCGAAAAGAACGTGAAGTACGTTAAGTTAAATTGGTGTCGGTTTACCGTCCCATCGGAATATGAGAGTGAGAGAACAGAGAGTGCACCTGTGCTTGCACAAACACTCGGTCACTATAATCCTGTCCTGTACAGAAGACTGCTAACGGAGACCGTTGAGACTGGCCGCCGTTACCGAAATGCCTATATATGGTCTAGAGTTTATAACATTTTCATCTTTCGTCTTTATGTAGTCTGTGTTAAAAAGATGATTCGATTAGGTTCTTGATAAATGGTTTTTATTTTGAAAACTTTGCGCTAGTTATTTAGTATCTCAATACACTCCAAGTTTTAAGCATTAACGGAATACTACCGAGCTTTTTACAAGCCGCATAATTTATTAGATAAAATATATTTAAGAATGTTATAAAGCTGTAATGGATTTTAAATAAAGGAAATTGTATAATTTTGACAGTGATTAAAATATAAATGCAATTATGTTACTTACGTCTTTAACAACTGAATCCTCATCGCTATACACATATCTGTCACATTTTTCTGTGATTTCGACGTTGAAATTTTGCTCACTACAAGATTCATTGTTGATTGTACTGAGATTTTCTCTCCATTGATATCTTTTGCATTTTGATAGCTCCCCTTTGTCTCTTGGTATCGTATAATCCAGCCAAAGACTTTGATTAAAGCTTTCGCATTGTTTGATCTCGCATCTGTAACAAATGTATTTTTTTTTAAATACATTTTCCGATAAGAACCAAGCTATTTTGAAAGGTAAAGGATCGATGACATTAAGAATAAAAAATATTAGAGAAAACTTTTGAAGGGCAATGATAAAATGTAGACCAAAATAAGATCTTTCAAAGACCGTCAAGTTTGGGACAATGCATCAATAAAGCGATGTGAAAAATAAAAAAATATATAATTATTTCTGCATATTTGCGGTTTCTTATAGTATAAAGAAAAAATGTTTCAATTTAGTCTTAATTTTGTGAATGCAGATGAATATAAATGGGTAAGGTAATAACTTATTATTTGTTTCTATAGAAACAGAAGATATAAGTATACTGAAAAATCTTCTCTTTCTATATTTTTTTATAGGATAGCGTGACAAAAGAGCACACAGTCCACTGATGGTAAGTGGTTGCTGTGGCCCATAGACATCTACATTTATCCTCGTTTGCGAATCAAAATGCAGATGCGTTGTCACCCGTGAGGACTAAGATGGAATGCTTCTTTTCCAGTAAAAAGGATCTCCGGTTTTCTAGACTCACCATACGAAACACAGCAGTGTTAAGCTGCTATTTGACGCTGGTATTCTGTGAGAGCGTGATCCTTGCCCGGTCGAGCCGACCCATTCGTGCTACAACTATACTACTAATAGCTGCAGCACGGCTCTATCACGTACATACCATATACATGTACATTTATATCATGTACATGTATATTCTATATAATATAAATTGAAGATAATATTATGCAATCTTCTGCATCTAAATAGGAGTACAAAACTACTGACAGTGTCTTACAAGATAAAAATTGAAATGTAATATTTGAGATAATAAACCCAAATAATAGGATAAATGACGATAACAAAGTCTCGGAGATGATAGAAACTAGAGAGAGATATTTTAGGTTCGATTCCCACACGGACCAATAATTATTTTTATTTATTTGTCAGAAATAGTAATGGACAGTCAGCGGTGTGTGTTGATTCGTCGTGACAATGTCCCTAATGTCCTTGTCTGTCGATTTCCGTCTGCATCGTCACTTTTTATACTGTGATATATTTTCTACAAATATTTTCATGAATAAAAAGATGCCCCATGTATTTTTCTCATACCTATGCTAAAATCGTATACTTAAAAAAAAAACATTCTTTTTCAACTTACCTCTTAAAACAAGAATTTGAAAGGACTTCAATATTATATTAAATATACATTATTTTATTATATAAAATATTTAAAAAAACTATGAGGAAAAAATAAACTAAAACTAAAAACTTAATTATCATACAGTCCTACTCCCCGTGGTATCGCGCCAAGAACGCTGGCTGCGTTTCCTCACTGAATGGCTATACTTAACCTTTGAATGAGAAAAGAACCAGCCCTCTCATCACAAGCAGCAACGACCAGTCGTGGGTACAGTTCCTTTAGGAGCTTCACCGCACGTGGACCCCACGGACCGATAGTCTCTGCAGCAAATGGCACAAATATGTAGTCATCTCTCATAGACTCATATTTGTGCCAATTATTCAGTTCAGCTTTTTCTGATGCCGCCCGGGCTCTAAGGTAGGTACCGCTGAGATTAGAGGCCGCCAAAGTGTTTACACAAATATACGTGGTTATACGTGGTAGAGCTATGCTGCAGCCATATCATTAGTATAGGTGTAGCACGAAGGGGTCGGCTCGACCGGGGAAGGACCACGCTCTCACAGAATACCATGCGTAAAATAGCAGCTTAACGCTGCTGTGTTTCGTATGGTGAGTGTAGAGAACCAGAGACTTTTTTTAATGGAAACGAGGCATTCCATCTTAGTCCTCACGGGTGACAACGCATCAGCATTTTGTTTGATGTAGATGTCTTTGGGCCACAGCAACCACTTACCATCAGGTGGAATGTTTGCTCGTTTGTCACCCTTATCCTATAAAAAAGTATCATCCCACACTAGAGCTTTACCATTATCTCCCAAGGGTCCAATGTCATAACGTCAGGTCTCCTGCCATCGTCTCTTAATATTCCACAAGGCTTTAAAACTGAGGGAATATTTATAGAGACCAGAACCGTTCGGATGACATTGTTCAAAGAACCGTGACGTGAAATACCTACGAGCAATTTTCTTACATGAAAGGCCAGGGAGCCCAAACTCATCGACGCTGCTACCACAGGTGCACTGAAGGGGTTGGCAAATCGCCGCTCCTAGTCGGATTCCTACGGCAGTGTACAAGCTTTCCGCATCAAGTAATGTGGCGAGATTAAGCGATAAAGCATGTTACCCATGTGACTAGATTCCTTAGTCGAAGCAGCTAGAAGGCGTTCCATAGTGACCAAGATCGGGTACCTTGGTCACTATGGAATTTGAAATGTAGAACATACCTTATATAATATTGTTATAAAAAATCTCGAATTATTTTATTTATTGTTTTTCTTAAATATAGTAAGTAGTTTAGTTAGCAATAATGGCAAACTTTATGACTTTATATTATATAATTAAGTGTACCTTTTTTAAAATAAGTAAATTTTTCTTAAATGCTAAAAGTATTACAACTTAAATATGTTCCCCTGCCGGACACAAGCCCCTTCGTATGTATAAGAGTATACTGAAAATGACTCTAAATATAAGATACAACCCAATCTGAGTAATATTTAATGAACTATTCGTAAATTTCAATAAGTAATATACGTATATACGTTATACACTTCGCGTCCGAACTATTATCCACGTTCGATACACGATAAGCTGAAAGGTTTCCAATCACAGATTCTTTATTCTGGGTAATTTCATTCGTCTTATTTATTTGGTAACCAAACAGAAGTGCACCTTATAGACACTGTGTTAATATCATCTTAATATTTGAGGTGAAAACGCACCTATTTATTGTACCTACTAAAGAATGCTAAGTTCTGTTTTCCTCTGTCTGTACCTTCATATTATAGCTCCTTATCATCAAATTGTTACTCCTTTGTCATTCTTTTATGATTAAATAATGTTAACCCGGCGAGAATGTGGAGGGGTCAGTTTGACCCTAACAAATTTAAATCGGCTAGATTTTATATTTCGCGCGGGCGCACGTTTTCGAACGTCTCAGTAGCTGTCACGAATAGACCACAGCGCACCCCGCACGCCTCTATTTAGTCGGCCGTCGCCTGCGATGGGAGTTGGACGTGCGCAAAGCGAATAAGGGTGAATATGACCCCGCGACAATCGCGACGTAACATTTTTTTTACGATTTTTTATTTTTGTTTTATTTGAATATTGTTGTCTTTGTAGGTATTTTTGATTAAAATGAGTCGGCAAGAAAATCGAGATGAGTGGATACGTCAAATATTGATGGAATCAGACAGCGAAAATGAGTTCCTGTTAGAAAGCAGTGAAAATGAAGATCATTTGAGTGTACGCAGTTGCGGTAGTGATACTGAGCAGAACATAAGCAGTGAATATGACAGCGAAGATGACGTTCCGATATCGAGCTTGCGAAGCCAGAATCAAATTCTGCTTGAAGAAGAGGAATTAGATGCCCAGGTGAGGGATTCGTTTTATACAGGTAAAGATGGCTCCAAGTGGTTCAAAAATCCGCCTTCACGGCAAGTTCGGACGCGCTCAGAAAATATTATCAGACAAACACCTGGTGTGAGCGCAGAAGCAAGATTAGCACAGTCAGAACTTGAATGTTGGAGCTTGTTTTGTCCCGAAAATATGATTTCCATTATCCTGACTCACACAAATCTACAAATTCGAGAGAGAAATGCTAGTCGTGAAAACCTTCCTCACTTCATGATAGAATTAGAAATGAGTGAATTGAAGGCTTTCATCGGTTTATTGTATATTGCCGGATTTTATCGCTCTGGAAGGCAAAATACTGCAGATCTGTGGGCTTCCGATGGTACAGGAGTCGAAATATTTCGGTTGACAATGTCACGTCAACGATTTCATTTTATTCAGAGCTGTCTCCGTTTTGATGATAAATCTACGCGTGAAGAGAGAAAACTATTGGACAACTTAGCTCCTATACGTGAAATATTCGAGCTGTTCGTTGAGAACTGTAAGAAATCATACGTCTTGGGCGAATATGTCACCATTGACGAAATGTTGCTGGCATTTAGAGGAAGGTGCAAATTTAGACAATACATACCAACCAAGCCTGCAAAATATGGCATAAAGGTCTTAGCAATGGTTGACGCGCAAAATTTTTACATTTTCAACCTCGAAATTTATGCAGGAAAGCAGCCAGAAGGACCATTTTCCGTAAACAATAAACCTTTTGACGTAGTGAATCGTCTAGTGCTTCCCATTTAAAAAACTGGTCGGAATGTTACTTTTGACAACTGGTTTACCAGTTATGAACTTGTGTCACATCTACTCAACGAGCACAAGCTGACTTCTGTGGGCACAGTGCGGAAAAACAAGAGAGTACTCCCGAACAAGTTCTTGAAAACGAGCGATCGTGATGCAGATGTTTATTCATCGAAGTTCGGCTTTCAAAAAGATATAACTCTGGTATCCTACATACCAAAGAAGAAAAAAGTTGTTCTGCTCATTTCAAGTCTCCATCACGACGCTGATATTGACGAAACTACTGGAGAGAGAAAAAAACCAGAAATAAACACATTCTATAACTCCACTAAAGGAGGAGTAGACGTTGTAGATGAGTTGTCCGCAACTTATGATGTAAGCCGCAACTCCAAAAAACGGCCTCTGACTGTGTTCTATGCAATTTTGAATATGGCAGGGATCAATGCAAATATTGTATTCAAATGTAATACAAATTCAACTCAAAAACGCCGTAATTTTATCAAAACTTTGGGCCGTATGATGGTAGCCGAACATATGAGTGCTCGTAAAGAAATACCTCAGTTGTCCAGCCAGCTACGTAAAAGAATGAGAGAATTTGGAGGAGAATCTGCTCAGGAGACGCCTGTAAGGGTCCCAGGTGTACGAAAAAGGTGCCAAGTGTGTCCTTATGCCAGACATCGAAAGACGAGCAATGTCTGT